ATATCGTAATCCAGAGGGTTATTCTGACATGCAGAAATTGCATAGGAAATACTGAAGATTGGTACAATTTAAAATGTACATGTGTCGAGCATGGTGGTACAAGTCTTCAATCCCAACATTTGGGAAGCAGTGGCAGGCAGATCTCTGTGAGTTCAAGGCCAGCCTGAGCCTTCCAGGGCTATACAAGAGGAACTTGTCTCAAAAAGGAAAAAAAAAAAGGGGGGGGTGAAATACACGCAATTCCTTCAAAAAAGCTTAAAACACATATACATACTGCTTGGTTTAATGGTGGCTGGGGGGGGGGGGTTCTGGTTTTATAAAGTTCCCTCCCTATGGAGCCTCTTCTTCATATCTCCTTAAACTAGACTTCAGTTTCTCATCTCTTACATACTGTGTGTGTATGATGGGTTTGAAGTTTCTGTTAGCACACGCTTGCCACTGTGTGTGTGCACCAAGGACAACTTTGTGCAGTCAGTTCTCTCTCCACTTTTACATGGCTTCCAGGGATCTACAGATCGCCAGGCTCGTTCTCCAAGTACTTTTATCCATTGAGCTGTCTTGCCAGTCCTCATCTTTTACATTAAAAGAAGATAAGATTTCTTGTCAGGTGTGGTGGCACACAGCTTTAATCTCAGCACTCAGGAGGAGAGGCAGGCAGATCTCTCAATCTGAGCCCAGCCTGGGCTACACAAAAATCCCTGTCTCAAAAAAAAAAAAAAAAAAAAAAAAAAAAAAAAAAGAGGAAGAAGAAGAATCTCCTCACAGGGAACAGGAACAATCTGCCATGCCCCTAATTTCTCTCTTTTTTTTAAACTGATTTTTATTGAGCTCTACATTTTTCCCTGCTCCCCTCCACTCTTCAACCCTCCCCCAAGGTCCCCATGCTCCTAATTTACTCAGGAGATCTTGTCCTTTTCTACTTTCTACTTCCCATGTAGATTAGATCTATGTAAGTCTCTCTTAGTGTCCGCATTGTTGTCTAAGTTCTCTGGGATTGTGGCTTGTAGGCTGGTTTTCTTTGCTTTATGTTTAAAAACCACCTATGAGTGAGTACATGTGATAATTGTCTTTCTGTGTCTGGGTTACCTCACTCAAAATAATGTTTTCTAGCTCCATCCATTTTCCTGCAAAATTCAAGCTGTCATTATTTTTTTCTGCTGTGTAGTACTCCACTGCATAAATGTATCACATTTCCTTATCCATTCTTTGGTTGAGGGGCATTTAGGTGATTCCAGGCTCTGGCTATGAACAAAAAAAAAGCTGCTATGAACATAGTTGAGCACATGTCCTTGTGTGGCCACGATATTGTGGCCATTTTTAACAACAGAAAGAACAAATGAAAGGCTTCTATTCTGTGTTGGTTGCCAGTGATGGAACATACAAGGACAGATTCCAATCTTTGGCTCCTGACTGGTAAAACTGTATCTGTAACTTGGCACAGGTGTGTTTATGGTTTTGCACTTATAGACCCGACCACAGCTTCTTCTTGGGGCTGCCAGGAGAAACAAAGCCAAGTCCTTGTCTTGCAGCCCTGATCCATCAGTGTCCCGCTTATGTGGTGATTTATTAAATAATTTTGAACTCATAAGTGTCTCTCCTTCCTCATGGTACACAATGGAAATCGAAACAGGGTTTCTCTGTGTAACAGCCCAAGCTGTCCTGAAACTGGCTTTGTAGACCAGGCTGACCTTGAACTTATTACGTGCCTGATGGAGACCCAGTGCTGTGGAATAATCCTGTACATTGTGAAAATGTGTTGCTTTCATTATTGATAAAGAGCTGATTGACTGATAGGCAGAGAAAATACTGGAGTCAGGAGTCACAAGAGATGGAGAGGAAGCAAGACATGCTGGAGGACAGATAAAACCACGAGCTTCAAGGCGGCACATAGATTAATAGAAATACCTTAATTTAAATTGAAAGAGCTAGTTAATTATAAGCCTGAGCTACTAGCTAAGCATTTGCAATTAATATTAAGTCTCCGACGACTGTGGGGACAGGAAAACTCCACCTACAATCTTAGATCATCAGTTCCCAGTGTGGCCCGTAACTGTGGCTCATACCCATCCACAACTCTAGTTCCAGATCCTGGGATCCAATGCCCTCTTCTGGCATCCTAGGACACTAGGTACACATTCAATGCACTTACATACATGCAGGCAAAACACTCAAACACATAAAAAAATCTTTAAAAAACAAAAGCTCATTAACAAAACTTGATGAATTGGTGGTCACTATGAACAAAACCCAAAGGCATACAGTAGCTATCAATGGATAAATGGCAATCATATTTACTTACTTTTGAATATCTCCAAAATTTTTTTGTTTGTTTGTATTTTTCTTTTGTGACTTGTTTGTGACTGCATCTGATTTTCTGGAACTCGAAGGAGAAGTCAAAATATTTTTCTCGTAGTTATTGTTCTTCAGTCATAAGAAAAACATACAAAGGCATTATTAACGAGAACTTTATGAAAAAAAGCTTTAAATTCTACAAACTCAAAATTCTTAACATTTTTCAAAAACTGAATTTTTTAAGTTCTTTGAAGAATACTGAGCATGTACATACTTCACTCTCCTTACCTAGACTTTATTTTGCAATAGGCATTCACATAGCATTTACATCGTATTACAGATGAAAAGACATGATTTAAAGTCCATGGGAGGAGGCAAGATGGTTTAGTGGCTAAGGTGTTCATGCTAAGCCTGACAACCTGAGTTCCATCTCAGGACCCATACGACAGAAACAGAACCAATTCCACAAGCTGTCCACTGACCTCTGCATAAGACGCTGTGGTACATGTATGTATACACACACCAAATACATAGACGTAATAAACATAAGTACACAGGAGGATACGTTTGGGTTATACACAAAGCTGTGCCATTTTACCTTAATGGTAAGATTCATAAAAAAAAAAAGAAAAGAAAAATTCTAGGTATACTTCATTTTGGTGAAATGTATTCTCAGACATTTTCCAAAAGTAGGGGAGTTAACTCAGGGGCTTTGTAACCTCAGTATTTCAGATACCCTAGGTCTCACTGGAGACAGTACTCAACATGGCTCAATTCCAGAGAATCCAAGTCAATTTGGTTTAGAGTAGGTATGAGAACTTGTACCTTATTTTTAAAATATTTTATTGATTTCTTTATGTATGGTTTTGTCTGTGTACATGTATGTAAGGTACTGGGGATCAAACCAAAGTCCTCTGAAAGAGCAGTTAGTACTGTTAATGCTGAAACATCAGTCTAGCCCCCAAGAGTTTATATTTTAAAAGAAGCCTAGGTGGGCTCAAGGTATATATAGCTCAGTGCTATAGCTTGTGCTAAGGTTTTGGCTTCAACCTACCAGGCTCTTTTGAGCCACTAGGTTCAGGAACCCTTAGGTTTTAGTGTATGTATGTTTTACCATCTTGTCTTTCATTGTTTTTTATAAACAATGTAACAGTGAGATAAGGAACTCCAGGTTCAATATATTATTTAAGAATTAGGCTAGGAGGACCAGTGAGATGGCTCAGAAGTAAATGTACTTGCTACAATGTCTGGATACCTGAGATTGATCTCCAGAACTCACACAGAGGAAGGAGAGGACTACCTCTTGCAAGTTGTCCTTTGACTGCCACTCAGGTAGTGCCCATACATTAAATAAATTAAATGTCAAAATAAAATCAGGCTGAGGGTATAGCTTACTTGTTTAGCATACCCAAGGTATGGGATTTGATCTGTACCACTAATAAATATGTCCCCAACTGAAGTAATTAAGTAACAATACACAAAAATGTATTAGTCATAAAAGTTTGTTTGCTATTAATTTTGTTTTGTTTTGTCTTGGGGCTAGGGAGCTGACTCAGAAGTTAAAGCCACTGACTGCTCTTCTAGAGGACCCAGTCACTTCCCAGTACCCATGGCAGCACCCACTGCCCAGAATCCCCAGCTCTAGAGGAGATGATGGCCTCTTCTGGCCTCTGGGGACATCCAAACACATATGACATATAACTCCCCCCAAATCTTTAAAAATAAAATACATTTTTTCTCCTTAAGTAGAACAAAGATATTATTTAAAAAAAAAAAAAAACTTAAATTGTTGTGAGGCTTCAAAGCAACGTGGGCATCTGTCAAAACTTACAATACTGATGCTGAGCCTCCTTGCCAGCTCTTCATCCCCTTTCAGCTGTTCTTCCATCTCACTTCTCCTTCTTTCTGTCTGTCTTTTTTCTTCCTCCTCTTCTTCCGCCAACAATTTCTGTATGTATTCCTCACTGGCTTTGTTTTCTTCTTCCTTGCTGGCTTGTCGTTCAGCCTCCACCTTAAAACATTGGAGAGATGGCTCAGTGGTTAAGAGCACTGGCTGCCTTTCCAAAGGATCTGAATTCAATCCCCAGCACCTACACAACAGCTCAAAACTGGCTATAACTCCAGTCCCAGAGGGATCCGATACCCCCTTCTGGTCTCCACAGGTACTGCATATACACCCTGCAGAGACATACATGCAGACAAAACACCCATATGCATAAAATAAAAAGATTAAAAATAATTATAGTAATAAAAGACATTCTTTCTCAAATTTTTTAGCACACTCATTTCACAACAAATGTAAAAAAATGAAAGCAAAAATTTCAAATCTCCACAGGCAAACAGCGGTTCGGAAGCCCACCCTAGCCAGTCCAACAAAGGTTTGGCCAAAGACTCAAATCTCTTGCCCTCAGTTCTCACAACAGTTTCCCCCACAGTACCACACAGACACTCAATGTTTCCTCAGCTCATGGAAAGTCACATGCTAAGGCAGACCTAACTGCCTCTGCTGCTGCTCTCTTTAGCACAGCAGACAGATTTACTAAAGAGAGAGAACTTCTGAAAACAGGAGAGCCAAGAGAGGAATACCCTAGACCTAGCTGCTGTTGTTGCTTTTATTTATTTATTTATTTATTTTAAAAAAAGAAAGCAGACTTTCTTTTTCATTATACATACCAATCCAAGTTCCCACTCCCTCCCCTCCTCCCATTCCCTCCCATCCCAGGCCCATCCAATCCTCAGAGAGGGTAAGGCACATTGCTTTTGGAGAGGGTCCAAGGCCCTTCCTACTACATCTAGGCTGAGCAAGGTTTCCATCCAAAAAGAACAGGTTCCCAAAAAGCTAGTACATGCAGTAGGAATAAATGTTTTTTTGTTTTTTAAACAAAGGGTTTCTCTGTGTAGCCCTGGCTGTCCTGGAACTCACTCTGTAGACCAGGCTGGCCTCAAACTCACAGAGATCCATCTGCCTCTGCCTTCTCCTGAGTGCTGGACTAAAGACATTCACTACCATGTTTGGCATTTATTTTTTATTTATCAATATTATTTGTGTATGGAAACAGGAGGATCACTGGGGCTTGTTGGCTTCCAAACAAGCTGATTAACTGGGCAGAGGGAGAGGTGCAGGAAGGGAAATCTCAGGTTCAGGATACATTTTGTCTAAAAGGAGTGGGCAGAGAAACGACAGAGGACATCCAACTCCCTCTGTGCACACCCACTATCTTTCTAACTAACAGAACCTCGACTTTGTGGCTGGGGAGATGGCTGGCTCAGTGTGCTAGAGTGCACGCTATTCAAGCATAAAGAACTGAGTGTGGAGTCCCAGCAGCACATAAAAGGCGAGTGTGTCAGCATCCATCTGAATTCCAGGTGTTCATCCATAGGCTAGCCAGATAAGCTGAGGTTCCACGTGAGACTCCAGTTCAAGTTGAGAACCGTCAGAAAAGATGCCAGAAGTCAATTTCTGGACTCTACATGCATGGGCACACATGTATAATAAAAAAGTCAAGACTCGCCAGGTGGTGGGGGTGCACGCCTTTAGTTCCAGCACTGGGAGGCAGAGGAAGGTGGATCTCAGTGAGTTCGAGGTCAGCCTAGTCTACAAAGTGAGTTCCTGAAAAGTCAGGACTGTTACACCAAGAAACCCTGTCTCAAAAAACAAAAAAATAAACAAAAAAAGAAAAAAACCCCAAACATTTGACTTTAGCTGGGTGTGGTAATACACACCTATAATCTTAGCACTTGAGAGGCTGAGGAGGCAGGTGAACTTCTGGAAATTCAAGGCCAGCTAGCTGGGTTAGGTCGTGAGATCCCCTCTGCAATTCCTTCCTTCTCCTAATCAAACAAAAAGTCTTTCCGGAAGTCATATTGGGTGAGTAAAATGTTCCAATTCTATTAACAGTTAGAAGCAGCTGCTGCAGCTAGTTCAAAATAAATGCTTACCACAACAGCTAGTGTGCAGTCAGAAAGGCCTAGTTCTCTTCCTCAGCTCTGTGCTTTGTTCTTTGGCAGCTTTTGACCCTAACTAAGCTCACTGTGAATCCCTCTTCCCATTCATCCATGTCTTAGATGCTGCCTCCATGAATAACAAACTTGTCATCTGCACAGAACTGAGCTTCCTGTAAGTCAACAGCTCTTTGTTAGATCAGCCTTATTTCATAATAAAGCCAATACCATATTAGAGCTTGTTTGCTTCTGAAGTTTCATTCCCTCCCCATCACTGCCCCCCCCCAAAAAGAGAGAGAGAGAGAGAGAGAGAGAGAGAGAGAGAGAGAGAGAGAGAGACCCCTTTTAGGATGCTCACAGTGTGCTCCTCTGTAGTATATTGGTGCTGAGCTAAACACACAGCCCGATTTCATATTTAGCTGTGTTACCAACACAGATTTTGGGTTAGAAAAGCAGCACTCAGTGATACTCTATCTTGAAAATCAGGAAATTGGCCTTTAATGAAAAGAAGTACTGGGCTTGCTTCCACAACAGCAGGCTGCCCCACAAGTACAAATTTGAACTGGTGTATTTTATTTCCAGCACGTGGCCTGTCGAGTCTTATTTCTGATTTAGTAATAATTCAAGCTCCTAAAGGAAATACCAGGACACAGGAATCAGTTATTTTCTTTGTGGAGAAAAGCCAATTACTAACTCCAATCTCCAATGTAGCTAGTCACCTATACTTTCAGCACTGAGGAGGCTTACGGCAAGCGCAGCCTAGGTTACAGAGACAGACAGTCTGTAGGACAGACTGAGATTCAGAGCAAGACCTTGTCTCAAAACATAAGCGCCCTCCTAGTATCACACTAGCGAAGCTCACATGCTGCACTGGAAGCTGAACCTTTACCCACCGTGTGCTTCAGTCACCCCTGGATACATACTTACGTCCCTCACTGAACCACAATCTACCACTTTACCATCCTTTAAAAGGTAAAAACCCCAAGGAAATCAAGGAAATTTTTATACTTAAATGCTTAGGCATCACTAAGTACATATAGTAAGTACCTAATATCTACACAGCAAGATCCTATCTAAAAACAAAAAGCACCCCTATTATATATAATAGAGGCTAGTTTATTATTGTTGTTGCTGTTGAACAATTTAAAAAGGAATCTTGGGCCAGAGAGATGGCACACTGGTTTGCTTCCCAGCACCTACATGACGGTTTACTAACTGCAGCTCCAGGGAATCTTATGTATGCCCTCTTCTGGTCTCTAACGACATTAGGCACACGAGTGATGCACAGACACACAAGCAGGCAAAACCCCCATATACATTAAATAAAAATAAACAAAAAAGGAATCTCAAGGTGCATTTAGGTGGCGTATGCTTTTAATCTAGTACTTGAGAAGCAGAAGCAGGAGGATCTCTGTGAAACTATGTCTTAAAACAACAAAACAACTTTTAAAACCAGGTGTGATGTCGCCATTCAAATAACCCCACCACTGTAATGAAGGCAGGAGAATCATAAGTTCAAGGTCATCCTGGGTACCAAAGAGTTCTATGATATTATCTTAATGGGGGCAGAGAGGGCTATGAAGTACATTTAAAAATTACTAGCATTTTAGTATATGACAGTTATATAAACATACTACATATAAATCTGAGATTTCTGAGATTGAAAGCATAACAAAGACATTTTCAACAATCAAAACCTAAGCTATTTCATGCCCACCTTGCTTATCTCCTCTTCATACTCTCGTCTCAGCTCCCCAGGTTTACTCAACAGACGAACTGGCTGGCAGTCATCAACTGCTTCACACGGGAAGGAAAACAGTATTAGGGCAACACAACTTTATGACCAACTTTGTGAGGCGTGTGCATGCACACACATGCAAGGTGCACGCGCTTACACACACACCCCATAAAAAAAAGATCAGAGTGCCTAGCAAACCACACTAGTCAGTTCTAGAAGCCAGGCTGTGGTAGCGCACACCTTTGATCTCAGCACTTGGGAGGCAGAGGCAGGTCAATCTCTGAGTTCAAGGCCAGCCTGAGCTATTAAATCAGCCTGAGAGATTAATTCAGTCTAAAAGAGAAACAGTCAAGTGGTGATGGCAAACACTTTTAAGACCAGCACTAGGGAGATAGCAGTCTGAGGGATTCAGTCTGAGCATGCAATCTGAGGTTTCATAGAGACAGTAATCAGTCTGAAGATTCGTAGAGACAGGATAGTCCCTTTGATCTAAGCATTGGGAGAAGTAAAAGAACTCTCCAGTGATTGGCTGCTGTTTCTCTGATCATCAACATTAACCTCTATAACTCACTCCAGGTTTTTATTATTAAGAACAATTAGAATTCATGCTACACAGAGTGATAAATAGGAGTGATAAATAGGAATCCTTTGCTTGCTTTGCTTGAAAATTTTTTGGACAATCAGTCTCAAGTTGTCATTTCATAGTTACATTAATTTCAAGAGATACAGTTGAGAAGTCTGCCACTATTAGGGAATCAGAATGATATATGAGAAAAACTAGCATCGTGTACTTACTGATATACTGTGCAGAAAAAAAAAAGAGAAAAAACCATGTCTCTAACTCCAATCTAAAACCCACTAATTTTGTTCCTGTAGCCACTACTGCTATGACAAAAATGCCTCATAAACAATCTGAGAGAGGAAGTTGATCTTGGCTCATACAAGGGCTTGTACCCATGGTTTTATGCCCTGTAAAAGCTAGAAACATGGTGAAAAGGCTTGGTAAGGGAGAGCTGCTTACCGAGACAGCTGCTAAGAAGAAAAGAAACAGAAGGAACCAGGAATATACACCTTTCAAAGCCATTCCCCAGGGAACAGTGTATTTCCTCCAGACAGGCCTCACCTCCTCCCATTTGGTATGAATTCATCAGTGGATTGGCCCATTGATGAAGTTAGTACTCTCTTGATACAATCACCTCAGTAAGGACAACTGGGAACAGTCTTTATACTATGTTAAAACTTTAACAATTCCTTCTAATGCGTGAACAGTATGTATAGTCTGATGTGTGTGTGTGTGTGTATGTATATACATACACACACACACACACATTTAGTTTATACGTCCCTTGATGACACTTGGGCACTTCTACTTTTTTCTAATTTTTATATGCTGCATGTTTTACAAGTTTGTATTAATACATTCTCATATTACAAATACAATTAAGATGAACCTTCCTTTTCATATTTGAAGCCATCTGAAAATTGAAAATATCTGAAAACAGAACTTTCTATAAAAAAAAACCTTTCATTTGGATAACAAAAGGATAAATTCAGCACTTGGAAGGCAGAGGCAGGCAGATCTCTGAATTTGAGGCCAGCCTAGACTACAGAGTGAGTTTCACGACAGCCAGGGCTACACATAGAAACTCAGTCTTGAAAAACCAAAAGAAAAAAAGGGCAGCTTAAAATCTAACTACAATAAAAACGTTGCAGTTTAATAAGTTAGCTGTTTCTGGCAATATCCTCTTATGTTTTGATTCAGTTCTTCCATCTCTTGTTCTTTTCATGGGTCCTGTACCTTACCCATCATCTTGCTTCCCTTCCCTGGACTGTTCTCTTCCTTTGGGTGCTCCAGGATAGGCAGGTCTCCTTCCCTTCAGACATCTTTTTATCTAGGGATTCTTGCTGACCCTCTATGATTTCTTTTCCACAAGTCATCCAAATGAGTATGAAATTGTAGTTATCACCTTTATCTCTTGTGGTTTTGATTTGTACTTCCCTAACGACTAATGTTATGGAACACTAATTACTCTATTAACAATATTCAGGTGTCTTACTAGTAAGCTGGTAACATGAATATCATTAATGGAGTAATATCTAAATTCTTTGCCCACCTCCTTTCTTTTCTTTGAGACAATCTCACTATAACTCAGGCTGTCCTGGAATGTATAAAGAAACGAGCCACCTTACCCGACCACTTTGCAGCTTTTCATTGGATTCCTTAAGCTTTTTGAGACAGATCTCACTAGTCCTGGCTAGACTGGGACTGCTGATGTAGACTCCCTGATGAGTTTCTTTTCCAAGTGGGTTATTTTCCAGATGAGGTTTTTTTTGTTTTGTTTTGTTTTGTTTTTCGAGACAGGGTTTCTCTGTGGTTTTGGAGCCTGTCCTGGAACTAGCTCTTGTAGACCAGGCGAACTCAGAGATCCGCCTGCCTCGGCCTCCCGAGTGCTGGGATTAAAGGCGTGCGCCACCACCGCCCAGCCCAGATGAGTTAATTTTTAACAGGGTCTCACAACACAGATCGATCTGGCCTAGAATTTACAGTGACCCTCTTGCTTTATTTCTTACCATCTATGATTTGCAAATATATGCTTCTATTTCGTGGGTTGTCGTTTGTTCTCTTGATATCTTGGCTATTTATTGATCAAGTAAACTTTTTTTAAGACTAAGAAGAGATTTCTGAGAGTTGGAGAGATAACTCAGTAAAGAACACATACTGCTGTTCCCCTTGAGCAATCATGTGTGTGCGCGTGTGTGTATGACCAAAGTATCAAAATATATATATCCTACCCTCCCATCTTTGAAGGCGACTACTCCTCTCCTGTCTATCCCATTATGATATCTCAAATGGATCATCTCAGTGACTAAAGAAATGACAATTTAGCATACTTCATCTCAGATCGTAGTATAATGCCAGCTCTATAGTTTCTCTATTGTATACTGTGACTTTTGCCTTTGTTGTTTAGAGAGAGGATATTTCTATGTAGTCCCAGCTGGCCTGGAACTCCCTAAGACCTTTATCTCAAAGTTTTACTAAGATTGTCTCCACAAAAGAAACTGAAGATCTAAATAAATGGAAAGATAACTTTCATGGATACAGGACTTTATAATAATTGGTAAAATCCCAACATCCCCAAGCGCTAAGTTTAAATGCAATCCAATCAAATTTCCAAAGGCTTTCAATAGACATTAACAAGTTGTTCTAACTCAGGAAACGTGTAATCCCAAATTGGAGGACAAGGTCAGCCCCAGCTGCACAGCCTATTCCAGGGAAGCCTGGGCTACAGAAGAATATTGGGGGGGGGGGGTTGGCAGTATTTTGGATTTTCTGAGACAGGGTTTCTCTGTAGCTTTGGTGCCTGTCCTGAACTAGCTCTTGTTGACCAGGCTGACCTCAAACTCCAGGCCCACCTGCCTCTGCCTCCCAAGTGTAGGGATTAAAGACCAGCACCACCACCTGCTGTTTCCTTTTAAGGAGGTAGAAAGCTATTGTAGTCGCAGAGCACACAAGGCACAGCAGGCTGACCTTGAACTCAGAGGTGCCTTCCAGCCTCTGCCTCAGCAAGTGCTGGGACCAGAAAATGCTGGACTTTAAATGGGTGACTATTAGCATCTGCATCTCTACAAAATGGGTTTTCTCATATGTTATGTTTTAAGATTTGTTGCTTAAAATGGATACCATGGCAAATTTTTTTGTTGTTGTTGTTGTTGTTGTTGTTGTTGTTGTTGAGACACCGTTTCTCTGTGTAACCCTCACTGTCCTGGATTTCCCTGTGGAAACCAGGCAAGCTTTGGACTCAGAAAATGCCTGGCCCTGCCTCCCGAGTGCTGGGATTATAGGCGTGCACCATTCTCAGCCACATTTTGTAATTAGTTTTTTTTTTAAACACATAATAGACAGTACACCACAGACCACATTCAAGGCCCAGAAGAAAATATGAATGGCTTTGTAACACAGGCAAAGTACTTAAAGACTAGGGACCAGTTTGTAGCCTTTTGCACCCCAAGAATGGAAGAGGCCAACGAAAAATGACTGAACTAAATAGTCCTCTTTTTCTTTTCCGAGACAGGGTTTCTCTATGTCACAGCCCTAGCTGTCCTGGAACTAGCTCTAGTAGACCAGGCTGGCCTCGAACTCAGAGATCCACCTGCCTCTGCCTCCCGAGTTCTGGGATTAAAGGCGTGTAACACCACAGCCCAGCTTTTCCTTCTTTTCTTAAAATAGAGAAATGACGGTTCCCTCTCTAAACGATTTTGGGATTAAAAAAAGAAAGAAACCAAATAACCGTGTTGACCTTACTCACCGATTTCCTTTGATTCTTGCCCAGAGACTCTAAGCTTGCATTCTTTTGCATAGTGTTTTTGGATAATCTCCCACAGGTCTGTATTAACAAGAGAATTTCTTCGGGTATGATATCGAGTCCACGAAGAGACTCGGCGGCGACAGAAGGGACAGCACAGGTTGGCCTTTTCAACAGTCGATTGAAAACACGGGTTACACAGCGTGTGGTTGCATGGAAGGGTTACCGGCTCCAGTAGGATTTCCATACAGATTCCGCATTGACATTCGGCTAAGGAAGGGATGGCGTCTTTGGATGCAGCCATCTTCATATGCTAACGAGGCCTACTCAACGTCAACACCTGAAAGAAATCAGAGGCGTCTTTCGGCTCACCACCGGATGGAGAAAGTCAGAGAGCGGTTTGGTCTTTAACCTGACACACAGCAGTGTGTTGGAACCAGACGGGCCTGAACTTCCCCGGGGCCGGAGGCAAACAGGCGCTGTGATGCCCCGCGAACAGTTATGCCCCGCGTCCAGCAAAGGAATGGACGAACGTTCCTTGGGGAGCGCGGCGGCCTCGGGCCGGAGTGTGGTCCCGGCCCCCCGCGCCGCCGCCGGTCGGCTCCAGCTCCCCTTCTCACCAGGTGAGGACCCGCCTTTTTGCGCGAGGCCGCCGGGCCCGCCAGGGCCGGAAGCTGGGAGACCGCCGCTCCGGGAGCGCCCCGGACAGCCCGGAAGCCGGGCGCGGGCCGCCGCTGGACTTCCGTCTCGCCGTTGCGGTGGCGGCAGCCCTCCAGGGCCCGCGCTCCAGCTTCTGGCCGCCTAGCGGTTCCCCACGTTCCCGAGACGTAGCCGCTCAGACCCGCCCTGCCAGCCAAACTGTTTACCGGCGGCAGGAGCGGGGACACGCGACCAACAGACGTCACAACTGCCCGCCAAAATGGCAATTCTTGCCCAAGGATCCGCCCAGTTGGGCGGGACTTTCGGGGCTGCGCGCGCCGTCGCGTTCCGCCTGCCAGATGCTGCTCCTCCAGGCTTTGCTGGTTCAAGTTTTGTTAGTCACTGGCTGAAAGGTAAACTCTAAACAAGCTTCAAACGGTATATATATATTTTTTATTAGTTATCCTCTTAGTACTCTTTTTTTTTTTTGCCAGTTTTCTCTGTAGCTTTGGAGCCTGTCCTGTAACTAGCTCTTATAGACCAGGTTAACCTCGAACTCACCAAGATCCACCTGCCTCTGCCTCCCGAGTGCTGGGATTAAAGGCGTGCACCACCACCGCCTTGGCGAGATCCTTTAAAAAAAAAAAAAAAGTATTCATTGATAGGCATGGTCACACATGTCGTGTAATCCCAGCATTTAGGTAGAAAAGGCAGTGACAGAAGCAAGGGAATCTAGAATTGGAGTCCAATTTGGGCAACATAGAGAGTTCCAGGTCTAACAGACTCTGGTTCAACTTCCCTGAGAATCTGTAAGAAGGCTGCTCTCACCAGAAAGTTGAACGTTTGGGCCAGAGAATCCTTAGCCCTGTGACAAGCTGACATTTACACTTTCTTCTATGGCACGGATCCCTGATGTCTGCGGCCTTCCTTTCTAAAGACTTAAGACCCACAAGCTTTTTGTACACTGTGTGGAGATGTGTCTCTGCCCTTCTTTTCCTGCCTAAGGCACCTTCTCATTGGTTCAACACAGAGCTGATTGACCGGTAGCTAGGCAGGAGAGGATAGGCGGGATTTCCAGGGAGAGATAGGAACTCTGGGAAAGAATCTGAGGTGTGGGAGAGTCTCCAGTGAGAACTGGAGGAAGCAGAACTTATGGCACTGAGGAACGGGTAACGAACCACGTGGTTAATTTAGTGTGAAAGATTAATGTAAATGAGCTCATTTAAATTTCAAGAGCCCATTGGAAACAAGAGTAAGCTAAGGTCAAGCTTTCGTAATTAATAAAAAAAATCTCCATGCTATTATTTGGTAGCTGCCAGTCCAAAGAAAAACCACTTATAGTCTGTCCTGGAGCTGTGGCTGTCAGACACCTGATACAGGTGCTGGAAATGGAATTCTTAGCTGCTGAGTCATCTTTCCACTGAGTCATGCTATGTTTGGGATTGACTAATTGCATGATGTTCAAAATGAACAGTCTGACTCCTGCTAGAGAAACATATCTACCTCATCCAGACACCAAAGACAAACCAAAGAAGAGACTGCGTTCAAGTTCAGTTTGCTGAACCAGTGTCTTACAGGAACATGAGTGTGGGATTTCTTACTGTAGCGTGGATGACTCCAAGGCAAGCCATACCACCTACAGCTCCCACCTCAGCATGGGATGACCCACAAAAGCTTCATTTCTAGACTCCCAACCACGGTCCACTGTTGGGGAATATTATTTTAAGGCATGTAACATTTGTGTATACTATGGAACATTTGCTTAACGATGTAAAGATGTGTTCCTTTTGCTTATGCTGTGAGGCTGTGATTCTTTGCCTGTCTAAAACACCTGGTGGTCTTATAAAGAGCTGAATGGCTAATAGTAAGGCAGGAGCAAGGATAGGCGGGGTTGGCAGGCAGAGAAGATAAAAGGAGAAATCTGGAAGTGGAAGAAGGAACAAAAGAACCAAGAGAAGAGGATGCTATGGGCCAGTCACCCAGTTAGTCACCAAGTAAGATGTAAGGAAAGGAAAAGGGCCAGAGGCAAAGGTGAATGAAATAATTTAAGGAAAGCTGGCTAGCAACCAGCCAAGCTAAGACCAGGCATTTAGAAGTAACAATAAACCTCTGTGTGTGATTTATTTGGGAGCTGAACGGTAGGCTCCCCAAAAGAGTAAAAAAAAAAAAAAAAAAAGATCCAAAGACAAGAAGAAAAGAGCAAAGAGTAAGAGCAAAGAATAAAAACAAAGAACAGTCAACTGTCCACCTCCTGGATACTCCAGCATCCCTAAGACCAGGTGGAGCAAGATTGTGTATGGCTTGTGGCTGGGGCTGGAATCTCAGGGGACAGCAACATTGCCCACTCCCTTCCTGATCTCATGGCCACTGTGGCTGATCACAATTTCAGTGATGCCATGCTGTGTCCTGGAGGACAAGTTCCACTATCCAATGAAAAGTATTTATTTCCCTTTGGCTCTTGGCCTTTTAGTCCCCTCACCCCCCGCAAAAAAAATTTTTTTGCTTATCACTGCAGAAATGTAGATATCTAAACTAATATACAGTATCTTTTAAAATATTATAGGTAATATATATGTATTATATATAGTTGGTTTTGCCCCTTTTATACTTAACATTAAATATTTAAACAAAACACCACCAGATCTGAGTGATGATTTCATATAAATTTATATTTATGTTTGCGGTATCAGGGATTGGGCCCAGGACCTCTATATATGAGGCATATATTTTCTGGGCTACATCTCCAGACTCTATTTCTTTTCTTTTTTTATTGAATATTTTTATTGATATTTATTGAGCTCTACATTTTTCTCTCCTCCCTGCCTCTCCCCCCTTTCAATCCTTCCCCAAGGTCCCCATGCTCCCAATTTACTCAGAAGATCTTGTCTTTTTATACTTTCTTTTTTTAAATTTTTAAACAAAGAGCAAACATGGATATTTATTTATTTATTTATTTATTTATTTATTTATTTATTTATACAGTATCCTGCCTGTAGGCCAGAAGAGGACACCAGATCTCATTATAGGTGGTTGTGAGCCACCATGTGGTTGCTGGGAATTGAACTCAGGACCTCTGGAAGAACAGTCAGTGCTGTTAACCACTGAGCCATCTCTCCAGCCCTCTTTTTATACTTTCTGCTTCCCACATTGTTGCCCCAGACTCTATTTCACTATAAAAAGTTTGCTTATTTTTTTAATATGGCTACACACAAAATATTCGTTGTATCAATTTGTCATAATTTCTTTAGTGCTCCTCCCACTTTTGCTATAAATAAAATAAGCCTACACTAAATTATTCATGTTTTTGCGATACAAATGACTGAAAGTGAAATTGCTGGGCCGTAGGGATGACAGGTTAATCTTTGGCTGATGGTATCAACTCTTTCAGGGATGCCCTTTGGTTTTCAGGGGTCCTCACTGCTTTCCCCTTCTCAATGACCTGAACAGCCCGCAGCAAACCATCCTGCAGAGCCTGGTTCTTTACCATGTTGGTGATCATGAACGTAACATCTTTAATGTACATCTGTCGTACATTAGCAGCATAGTGTTCTGCTTTGTCGCCATGCGCAATGAAGAAGGTACAGAGCGCTGTGACGTCTCTCTCTTGCAGCCCGTACTCCTCCAGGACTGACTCCCACACGGTTCTAACACGCTTGTTCTTGACTGTTCTTCTAAGGACAGAGGCTAAGGTCGGGAGACTTCTCACCATGTCTGGAAGCTTCTGAAGCACTCGAGTGTGCAAGCAAATAAGGACTTCAATGACGTAGCTGAATAATATATTCAGTTCCATTGAGGTGAACCTATGGAAAATGTGAAAAGCTCCTTAAGTGGAATATTTAGTGTATAAATGTAGGTTATATTTGATTAGGTTGGCTCAATGTAAACCCCCTAGGAAACCAACTATCTATTTCAGAAATACACCAAATAGCCTGCACCAAACTACAGAGATGGGCTCTCAGGCCACCCATGGTGAGGGAATTCTGTCACTCATGTCTGTCAATAAGACCGGCAGGTAACAGACTCACAGGTGGGCACTGTGGTGCTGGGCATACAAACAGTGCTCACATCAACCTTTTGTGAATGAAGGAACCCAGGCATGAGTAATACCCTTGGGACATACGAAATTCAGTTTGGAATGGCCACTGAGAGCTCTCGCAAAACCACAGAAGCCAGGATTCAATTATTGCTCACCCGAGGGCCAGAACTGCAGTCCATATCTCATCCTGGGCTGCCTGGCTTGCCAAAGTCTTGCTATGGTGTTCAAATTGCTGTGTCAGTTTATCCTTGGTAATGTCTAGTTCTTTGAACTGTGCGTCTAGAGCTTGGAGCTTGTTGTCTACTCTACAGGAATAAAGAATCAAAGTTAAGTCCGGGCCAGGGTAAACCTGAGACTCTAATAGATTACTTACAGCCCTACCAAATGTAGATGGGGACTCAGAGTGAAATGTGAACAGGGTTCCCACTGGCCAGGCCTCCTCTGATCTTGCTCTTCATATTGTCTGACTTCTGGATCATCTTGCTGTTTCCATGTCTTGTGCGATACTTTATGCTTCACAGAGTATCAACAACATTATTCTCATGACTGTAAGTGAAGCTACCAGTTGTTACCTTTTAAAGATGGCTTTATTTTGGGCTGGAGAGATGGCTCAGTGGTCAAGAGCACCGCCTGCTCTTCCAAAGGTCCTGAGTTCAATTCCCAGCAACCACATGGTGGCTCACAACCATCTGTATTGAGACCTGGTGCCCTCTTCTGGCCTGCAGGCAGAGCACTGAGAATACTGTATACGTAATAAATAAATAAATCCTTAAAAAATACATAATTAAATCTTTGAAAAAAAA